CTTTTTCACACTTCTCATTAATTATGTCTTTTTCACACTCTCATTAATTATGTCCTTTTCACACTTCTCATTAATTATATCATTTTCACACATCTAATTAATTCATTAATTACAACATAATTATCATAAATCATTCCATCTGAACTTTTATCGTTAAAATGTATAGCAATCTGTTATGACCTTATCTCATTGATATTTCATGAAGCGTCCTTATCGCGTTCTATTTTTTGGTAACCACTCTATATCAATAACCGGATATTTGGTTAATGATAACATACGTCTTTATTTCAAGGAGCGGATATTCTTTGACCTTTAATTAATCTGAACTGATTGCCTTGACTTTTCAATTTTTAAAAACTCTTTTTTTAAATATTTCGGCTTAAGATTTGGATTTCATTATACAAGTCATCGGATTGTTTGAATGAAAATGAATGAAAAGAACACCAAAAACATGTAGTCTTATTCATATAACCAATCCTAAAATATTAGTTGTTCACCAAAAAGAGACAAATCCTAGAAATCCTATAATATTAGTTTGTTCACCAATCCTAAAATATTAGTTTGTTCACCAAAAATATTAGTTTGATTTTTAGGATTTGTCTCTTTTGAAAATATTAGTTTGTGATAATGAGGAGTTACCAAATAATCAAACTCATAATGTTGTGTACAAGGAGGTTTTTAATAATATATGGTTGTTACCGAACTTTTTATGATTCAACAATGTTCCTATGTATTTTAATGATTTCAATTTCGATCCTAATGCACGTGAGGTTATATTATTCTTCCAAATTTTACATCCCGTGCATCGCACGGGTTACGTACTAGTTTATAATACACAAAATTTAAAAAAAGTCATACTTGAATTCAAAAATTAATTGATTAGAGATATTATTGAGATATGTGGATAAGTCACCTTAAAGAGATAATTTAGAAACCATATTTAAAGCATTTACAATACACGAAATTTAAAAAAAGTCATACTTGAATTCAAAAATTAATTGATTAGAGATATTATTGGGATATGTGGATAAGTCACCTTAAAGAGATAAGTCTCTATGGAATATATATCAGAATTGGATCCATAATTACCATTATATAATTATGCGAATCTTGAGTTCAAAAACGGTTGTTTGGTATAAATTAATATGCACTACCACTATTATCTGTTCACCTCATTCACAGAGTTCAGAGAAAAAAAAAAAGATAAATTTAAGAACACATCGATAATATAATGCCGCCAGTCTGGGATACACTCGATTCCGTGAGTAGGAGAAACAAACCTTTTTTGCACTTGAGAGCAGTCCTAATAGTGGAAACGCATCACCAACGGGAGAGCTGGAACGCATTCCATATATTGTTTCATGATGAAAAGGTAAATTTTTTTATTTGTAATATAAAATTTATATAATTTTAAAAAATATTTTAATTCACATTTATAAATTTATATTGTAGGGTACATTTATTAAAGGCATAATACGTTCTAAACATATGGAGCATTTCGAGGTGTACTGAACGAAGGCGAGATGTATGCAATTAGCAACTATGTCGTTAAATTTAATCATGGGAAGAAAGATATCATAACCAACATATGGAAGCTTGTGCTTCATGGAAGAACTCATGTTATCAAATATGGTGGGATTTTCCCTCAAAATGGTGATATTTTCCCTCAACATTAGCAAGGAGCAAGAGATATTTATGATATTTAGATTTTGATTATTATGAATTTTAATTTCATTCCATGTCGTTGAATTCCGAATTCTATAATAAATTTTAGTGTTATTATATTTGTTATCGTTATAAAATGTCGTTGAATATTTTTTATTTTTTTTATTAAATGTCGCACGAGATATTTATGATATTTAGAGTTTGATTATTATGAATTTTAATTTCATTCCATGTCGTTGAATTCCGAATTCTATAATAAATTTTAGTGTTATTATATTTGTTATCGTTATAAAATGTCGTTGAATATTTTTCTCTTTTTTTTATTAAATATCGCACGTATGTGAAAATTTGAACATTTTATTTTTTACTTCTACTGTATATTAATTTAAAATTGGTAGAATGCCATGATATAAGATATAAATTAATACAAATTTTAACAAATATTTCAAATATAATATTATATAAATAAAAATTTATGGAATTAACAATAACTGAATCAAGTACATTTAATTGATTATATTGCGTGATTTTTCAATAATTTATCATAATGGATTATATTCATAAATATTTGTTTGATTAAAATATTTATATTAATTTGTGTTATATAATAATAGATGCTGATCTTAATGATAAAAGGTTAAATATGATCTCGCCGTGGTAGTTTTTTATTGACGAAAAATCACAGTCTCAAATCAAAATTAATTGTAGAGATAATATAATTAATGGTGTAGAGATAATATTGGATTGGATAACTCATTAATGAAAATCGCTCATTATTTGTATTAATATCTCAAATAACATTTTAATTACTTATTAATGGTTCAATCCATATTTATTTCTTTTTACGTTAAAATTTTAATAATAATAATTTATATATTAATCTGTTTTTAATCGCATGATATGTATTAGTATAGATATATACGGTGAGTATGATGTTATCACAGCGAAAAATCTCCACTTCTTAACTACTTTGCACTTATCTTATCATCATACAAGACAAAGTTGAAAATTACAATTTGATTTCAAAATTGGTTGAAGTTTTTATTGACCGAAAATTATTCTTTGAATTCCATTTGAAATGAAAATTGCGAAAATCACTCTTTGAATCTATATCTATATATATAAAAAAAAAGTTGTTGGAAAAATAGTTAAATAGAATGTTTGACTTTTTACTTAATTTGTTTGACTTACTAATTTAGGAAAATTTGTTAAAATGCACATGCAATTTGAGTAAAAAAATGAGATTTTAAAAGCAATATTCGAATCATTTTTAATAAAAAAAACCGGGAGGATGATGTTAAATTGTGGATGAGGATAATGTCAATTGATTCTTTCCGAATTGAAAGGTCACATGTGAAATATATATACCAAGGATATCTAATTTATTAGTTACTTAGGGAGCATGATTGTAGGAGATCAAAATATATCAATGCAAATGTAATATCAAGTCATATAAAACAAGTTTCGTTATAAGTAATTTAAACATTCTTGGTAAGTTTTAAATTATTATATATAATAAATCCTTTTTTTATATATATTAACAGATACTATATATGTACTTATATATCTATATTTATATCTATATATATCTATATCTATATCTATATCTATATCAATATATAAAAGAGGTTGATGAAAAAATCATTTGTATAAACTTGATAAAAAATTTGAGTCAAAACCTTTGACTTACTTCTTTTGGAAATTCAAACTACTACTATAAAATAACAATAGAGATTTACTTTAAGTTTGAAAAAAAGTTCCCGCCTAAAATTTTAGATTTTACTACAATTGATAACTTTTTTAAATTCTTTGAAAAATTGAGAGTTGATTTGTAATTTGAATTTTAGCGCCGACGTTGGATGTGGTCGAATCTATCAATGAGTACATGACATCATTGAATTTGTTGGATGGGCGTATGTACTTGAGCTCTGACAGTACATGCAAATCGAATTCTAATAATGATTTTTTGTCTAATATCCATACGTCTGAGTTTTTTAACAGTATCAAGTGTTCCGGAATACCAAACCATGAGTTGTATTTGAAGATTAGAATTCCAGTCATGTTGTTGCGGAACATGGATCATTCTATGGATTTGTGTAATGGGACACGACTAGTTGTGATAAAGCTATCCACTCATGTTCTTGAGTGTAAGATACTCACAGGAGATCATGCTGGTGATAAGGTGTTGATTCCAAGAATGGCCACAACTCCCTTTGATGTTAGAATTCCTTTCAAGTTCCAGCGACGACAGTTTTTCATTATGGTTTCTTATGCCATGACTATAAACAAAAGCCAGAGACAATTCTTATCTCATGTTGGCTTATTTCTTAAGAAACCAACGTTCAGTCATGGTCAGTTATATGTTGCTGTCTTACGTGTCACTAACCGAAAATGTTTGAAAATCTTAATTTGTGGCGAAGATGACATGTCTAAGAATCAAACCAATAATGTTGTATATAGGGAAGTGTTCAATAATATATGATCTTTTCAGTTTAATTATATATTTATATGTCTATTCTTATGATCATGATCATTGCATTATTACACAATTTATATACAAAAGTGCTTTCTAAAAATAATAATTTCCCTGTGCATCGTACGGGTGATTACTAGTTGTCATATGAAGAATCAAATGAGAAAGTAGAACAATAATGATTTTAGTTAAAATCTATTTCGAACTTTATCATCATTATATTTATAAAATAATAAATTCATAAAAATCTTGCTCAATTTTAACATAGATTTAAAGAAATTCGAGCACATGCCACCAAATACAAAAGTTGTAGAGAAAATTTGACCAACAACTACTAGTAACATTCGAAGGAGTGATTAACTATTAATATTTTTTTGAAAATTTTATTCATTTGACAAAATGATGAGAAAATAGTCAAAAAAATAAAAATAAAAAATAGGTAGATGAATTACATAATTTTGATTAAATTTAGTAAATAAAAAATATGTGATATTAAAATGACAATATTTGGTAATTAAAAATATATGACTAAGTTAAAAGTGAACTTTACTAAACAAAAAAGTGAACTTTACTAAACAAAACATATTTTTTTATTTTTAAAGTATGTCAGCCGATGTTTAAAATTAAAAGTAGGGATCAATGCAAAATTCATTTTTGTAAAATAAGCATTGTGTACAAAATTTGATTCCATAAAAAAAAAAATGTACAAAACAAAATAAAAAATAATCAATATTCAATCCTTCTTCTATCCAAAATTCAAAATGTAATTTGTAGGGGCATTTTTGTCAGGAAAACATATTTATGGACATCAAAGGAGATTGGAGAGTGCCCATAGCCAAACTTTTCTTCCCATATATATTTCAATAAATAATCATTCCCCATTTCTCAGATAACACACATTCAATTCCGCCATGGGAGCCACCGACAACGGCTCATCATCTCAGCCTCTCAAGTTCCTGATCTACGGCCGCACCGGCTGGATAGGTGGGCTGCTGGGAAAGCTCTGCGAGGCTCAGAATATCGACTACATCTACGGGTCGGGCCGGCTCGAGAACCGGGCTTCGCTGGAGGCCGACATCGCCTCGGCCCGGCCCACGCACGTATTCAACGCCGCCGGCGTCACTGGGCGGCCCAACGTCGACTGGTGCGAGTCCCATAAGGTGGAGACGATCCGCACCAACGTTGTCGGCACGCTGACGCTCGCTGACGTTTGCCGGGAGAAGGGTCTGGTGCTGGTTAATTATGCGACGGGTTGCATCTTCGAGTACGATGCGGGGCATCCGCTCGGGTCGGGTGTTGGGTTCAAGGAGGAGGACACGCCCAATTTCATCGGATCGTTTTATTCCAAGACGAAAGCAATGGTGTGTTTCTCTTTAGGTTATTTCAGTTAACATTATATTGATCCTGAAAGTTCGATCTGTGTTCCGATTACTGCTCGCTTTTTTCAAGATCTGCTCCGATTTTCTTGACGATAATTATGAAATGGGCAATGATGACGAGGTATCCAGTTAATACAGGGTTAGGTTTCGTGCTGATTCTTGGTGTTGCTGATTAATATAGTTAATGGAAGGATCTTTTGTTGACTCTTGATTTAGTGGCTGATGATTTAAATTTAATCATAGATATAAGTTCAAACCGCTGGAATATAATCTTTAATCTCTGCTAATGTCTCTTTGTCCAAATTTTAGGTGTTATGGCACTTATATAATATCAATAATACCAATAAATCAAACTGAAAATTTATCATATTGCTTTGGTCTGCCATTCTTAATTGTACCTAGGATGAACATTGATCTAGCATAATATTTTGGCCCAGTCTTGTGTTGGGAATATACTGGGTATGTTGTTGTTGTTGTTGTTGTTGTCGTCGTCGTCGTCGTCTTGTGTTTAGTAGCAGCATTTAACAGAGTAGCCGGTGATTGCTTTTACGACTTAATTAGTTTTCCTGCTATCCTTAGCAATTGATTGTTGTAGACTCATTAAAGACACTTTGAAATGTTCTGCAAATCCGAATTAAAATTCCTTCCACTCATAAATAGTGTCTGCATTGGATACATTATGTCCTGATGTTAGCTTTCCTCTGAATGCCTTTTATTGTCAGGTTGAGGATTTACTGAAATATTACGAGAATGTCTGCACATTACGTGTCCGAATGCCAATCTCATCTGACCTCTCGAATCCTCGCAATTTCATTACAAAAATCACACGGTATGAGAAAGTTGTGGACATTCCAAACTCCATGACTATCTTGGATGAGCTTCTCCCCATATCTATTGAGATGGCTAAGAGAAACCTAACCGGAATATGGAACTTCACAAATCCAGGTGTCGTAAGCCATAACGAGATTCTTGAAATGTACCGTGAGTATATAAATCCTAACTTCACTTGGACCAACTTTACTCTCGAGGAGCAGGCTAAGGTTATTGTTGCTCCCAGAAGTAATAACGAGCTCAATGCCTCTAAACTGAAGAAGGAATTCCCTCAACTCTTGTCCATCAAGGAATCTCTCGTTCAGTATGTATTCAAGCCAAACAGAAAAACTCCGGTGGCTTGAGAGTCGAGAGGATTCTTTTTTGAGTCGAAGGGTGATATTTGTTTTTTTTCATCTGTTTTGCCATGTTTGTTCAAGTTACCATACATAGTTTTTGCCTTGTTTTTTGTTTTATTTTGTTGTTGTATGGAATGAAATGCTGAATAAGTGATCAAATGCCATGTTCACTTGACATTTTGAATGTTTTATTATGATTACATTATCTAATCTAATCTTATTTGTTTGTGAATATCTGATATATCTGAATCTAATACATTTCAATTAATCTATATGGAATCAGGTAAATCGACTAGATGCTCGTGACTGATTAAATGTTGTCCCTTTAACCTAGACGTTTATACTCACTTTGATTATCGGTGATGATCCCACTTAATCATGCAGCACTTGTGAAATTATCTGAAGTATGACCGATCGTTTTTGGAAGTTTTCCTACACTTATCATGCAGCACTTGTGAAATTATCTGAAGTATGACTAATCGTTCTCGGAAGTTTTACTACAGACAAGTCGAAGGCGAAAAAGCCTGTAAATGTTCATTGTGCGGCGATGAAATTTCAGCTCATTCAGCTCATTCTTACTAGCCTAATCATTATGCACTAGTGTGTACCTCGTGCGATGCACGGGAACAATATTAAATTAACAATATTATAAATAGACCTCGAGTTTGAGTCACTCAATGGCGGGAGTGGAAACTACTATTGATCTTATTTAAAAAGAGGTTATTTAAAAAGAGGAAGAAGAAAAATAATTATAAATTAAAAAAGAGGATAAACAATACTTAATAATTATAAATTAAAGATTCGGGGTCAAACAATGTAAAATTATTTTGTATAAGAGAATATAAAATTTACATTATTTTGTATAACAGAATATAAAATTTGTATGTTTAATATTAAAAACACCTAAAATATTATATTAGTATTTGAAAGAGTAATCAAAATTTTCTATATTATTTTTTAAAGATGTGAGTCGCCTACAACTTTTCTAAACAATTTTAGAAGGAACATATCAAAAAACATATAAATTTACCATTGCGTAAAAAAGATTTTTCTAGACTATTTTGCAAATTATGTCAAAAAAGACCATCAGATAGTATTACACTACCAACAACATTTGATTGAAAAGATAAACTAAAATCTGAGTTTTGAAAAGTTAAAAGAAAAACCACACTTTAATAGTCTAGACGAATATGTAAAAAAATGTCTAAACAATTCGTTTAAAAGTATCTAAAATATTATAAACTAATTTAATAAAGACATTATGTCAGATAATACCGAATTTATGGCGTTACTTCCATATAAAAAAATTAAAAATTTGATTACACACCATTGTTATTATATTTTTTACGTTGTTATCGAGGATGTATTGTTAGCTTATAATATTTGTAAAAATGTTACTCCCTCCTATTCATAATAAGTGTCGTTTTGGGAAGTTGCACACTAATTAAGAATAATTTTTTTGTCAATAATAACCCTCATTAATGAAGATAGAGATTGATGTTTTTAAAAAAAGACGAAGAGAATATGAAAAGACGTAGTGTATTTATTAACGGGTAATAATGAAAAAATATGTACAAAAGATCCAAAACGACCTTTATTTTGGTTAATAGTTGATAAAGCCAAAATGACATTTAAAAAAGAATAGCAGGTAGTAGTAATTAGACCGATGAAAATAGATAATGGATTTCGAGTAGTAATTATGAATTGGTTTTTAATTTTTTTTTTTAAATCTTTATAGATAAGAGATGAGATTTTTTAAACTCGTGAGACGTATGCAATAGGATTTTGTAACAAATAAGAGATAAACTCGTGTAGATTTATGCTATGAGATTTTCTGTGGGACAGTTTAAACCAAAAGCCAATCAGATTTATTGTTGCAAGCTAGAATTAAGGAAACAATGCAATTAAAGAGCCGGTTTTTGTGCCTATTCACAATTGTCCAACAATTACTATATTTAGGATATATTTAATGATTTTAGCGGGAAAAAATTTCTAAATTTATAAAAAGGTTATTCTTTTTATATAATGATATATGCTTACGATTTTCACAAATTTGCGTATTTTTTTTATTAAAAGACATAATATTTTAGAAAACAAATAAATAGAAGTATGACATTTGATAGTACAAATATGCAATTTTTGTTCATAGCATGACAAGTTAACTCACATTTATATCTATATCTGTATGTATATAATAAGAATAACCATTTACTAATAATAGTAGTTACAAATTTTAGGAGCATTTAATGCATACCATTTTTTGAATTTTTTTTAAATATATGCATTAATTTTTTCTATATACAAGTTTTGAAATAAGATCAAATCAGATATGATAAAAAATATTGTTTCCTTGAATAATTTTATTAATATCTGCAATAATTTCATTGATATCCATTATAATAAATTACAAGATTGATTTTCTGTGATTCATGTCGATAATATTTTGGTCAAGATAAATATTAAAACATATTTTAAGTTCTAAAAATAATATTAATTTTTTTTAATAAATATTCACTTTTTATCCAAAAATATTTACAGAAAATTGTAACATGCTAGAATTTTTTTTTTCTTCCAATTAATCAGGAGAAATCAAATAGTGAATTAATTTTTGCTAATATAATTGTTTCTTAAGCTTTATTTCGTTATATATAAAAAACAAATTATTCTTCAAATGAATATAATTTACCATTTAAGAGATCATGACCGTATACATTAAATGGTTTTACTAATGATAGAAAATTAAAATTGAAATATATTAATTGTTCTCCAGAATTTATTTGTATATTATTGGCAATAATGATTATTTTTTTATTATTGAGCGTAACAAATGTAACTACTGTCGGGATTCACAATATCGGCCAAAATCAACAAAACCAAAATTTTCAATTCAAGATTTTTATATGTCTGTTCAATTATTTGTTTTTACTTTTAAATGTCAGTTATATTGATTCAAATGTCATGTCGACTATATTTTTTAATTTATTTATATATATATATAGTATTTATTTTTCAATAAAAAATAATATAGAATGTTAAATACAAAATTATAAATACAAATATATTATCATAGAAAATAGTTGCACTTCGAATGCACATTTCTGTTAAATGTATTGCACATTGATGATTGTCATATTGCACTATAACGACTAGCTATATAAACGAACACTATTTTGCTATGTATGTATTTTAGGTCTTTACAATCCAAAATAATATAAAATATTAAATAAATTTATTAAAAAATTACTAAATATATTTTTATAATATAAATTCTAAATTATTTTTTTTATTTAGAATATTTCAGCTAACTGATCAAATAAACATACTCTTTTGATTTTAATTGGTTTCTGACAAACCATTAAAAAAATATTTGTAAATTGAATGCACATTTGTGTTAGACATAATGCACATTAGTGATTGTCAAAGACTTAAATTGCACTATAGCAACCAAACCGACCGAATTATGTAAACAATTATTATTTTGTTACATATGTATTTTAGGTTTTTACAATTGAAAAAATAATATAAAAAATTAAATAAAAATGTTGAAATACTAAATATATTTTTATATTATTAATTATTTTGACTATTTAGATTAATTCAGTAATTGATCAAATAAACTATTTTGGTAAAAAATAATTGCATTTCGAGTGCACATTACTGTTAGTGGAGTTGCACATAAGTGATTGTCATATTGAACTAAATTCGTTGGTTTTGAATTATATATTTTAATTTGATTATTTGTTTTTACTTTTAAAAATTATGGCTGTTACAACTTGAAGTCGACTTTATTTTTAAAATAGCCGAACCGACCGAAATAAATTTTGCAGTTTAAAATTTTATATTTCAATTCAATTATATATTTTTTAATTTTTAAACCTCAGATATAATCCCCTTTATTATATATAATTTCAGAACGCGCTGAGCCTACGTGGCAAACTCTCATGCTTCGGAATCCTATTTGGCAAAAAATCATGCTTTGGAGTTAGGTTTGGATATAAATTAATATTTGTATTAATTGTATTTTAATATCATTTACTATTATTACCATTGTGTTGCAAATATATTTTAAAAGTTGATAACTTTTGTATTTCTTATCGGTTTTACATATATAATATATCAAATTAATCATCTTTTGATGAGCTTTGATTTGACATCATATTGTATATATAAAATAAATAAATTATATTTATCTTTATAATAATAATAAAATTATTTATGAAAATTAATTAAAAAATAAAATTATTTATCAATTAATATATTTATGTTTAATGTAGCTATATATTATAAGGTAGAAAATTTATTTAATATAACACATATCCCTCCTTAATATAATTTCAAAACGTGCTGAGCCTAAATGGCTGACTCGAACGCTTCGGAAGCTTACTTGGCAACATTACATACTTCGGCTTTTGATTCGGATAAAAATAATACAATTATAATCCAAAATAAATAGGACCCCAACCTAAAATAGGATTCTTATTCTTATCTCCTCCAAATAGGATTCTTATTCTTATCATAGTTAATTTTAATTCCTTCAAAAGTTTTTTTTAATCACTTATTCTTATCCAAAATTCACATATGTAATACACGGATCTATACTATCACCGCCTATTTAAATATATATAAAAAAAAATTTGAACTTTAAAGGTTGTTGCATATTTCTTATTCTTATTATGCCGTGTATAATAAATTTGAAATGCCGTGTATTTTGCTTAATCCTACTATTATATGAGCCGTGTAGGATAAGGTGTTTCAAATGTTAAGAATCCTATTATGCCGTGTATTTTGCTTAATCCGAAATCGGTATGACAAAGTTCTCTACATTATTTAAATCACCATCCCCCTTCATTCTCATAGCCCCTTCATCTCAATTATTCATCTTACAAAAATTGAATTTACCATGACAACTATTTTCAACACAATTGAGCGTGTATGGTTCAAATATGACAAGAACCACCTGAAAATCGTGTTGTAATGGAGATTTGTGTCTTAGACAAAAAAGGTACACGGTAGTTTCAATTCAGCACCTTATCCTTCGTATGCCCCTTCTGATTATTATCATATGAGCTATAGGTATTACAATTCGAGTTATTTTATTACATCAATTATTGTCAGTATCTATATATATATATATATATAAATATAAATGCCTCTCCTTGAATTGTAATTTGTTTGTGTTGGTTCTGACCATGTCATAATGCATTTTATCCTCTGCGTTATGTTTAAGAAATTTC